TAAACTTCAGTTGTGTTTTGGATGCAGTTGTCAGATTTTTTCAAGCTCAGAGGGGTTTTGTCTGGTCAGTACTTGGATGGAAGAGTTCCAAAGGGAAAGGGTGCTGCAGAATGGCAGTGGTTATTGATTATCTGGTCACTAAAGATCTTGTGGTGTTTTAGTACACGACTTTAGCTTGTAGTGACAATTTCTGATAGCAGCCATAAAGTAGGAGGTGCTGTGCAGATGGATAAAACAAAACAATCTCTGTCCATGAATGCTAGCCACAGTTTCCTGGCAAAATTCCAATTAGTGTAGATAATGCTCTGCATATTTTCAAATTCCTCGTGCTGGTTCAGTAGCACTACACTTCATCATTTCTTGGTTAAAGACGTATGTACTTTCATGTACAGTAATGTTAAATAACACTTGCATTTTACCGAGTGTGTGTGTGTGTGTGAGTACATATTATGCATGTTGAAAAAGTGGACCCCTCCCACGAACGTCCAGTCAGTACAGACTATAAGGTTACTGTCTTGACATTCAGGTAAATGGAGACTCAATTACGTATCATTGCTGTACCTTAGGACCTTTTTTCTTTCAGCTCTTTCAAAGGAGTAGAATTGCAGCATCCTTTTCTTAAGAGCAGGTTCCTTTGACTTGACAGCCGCTTGTCTGTGACATTGGCACAAACAGTCATTGTCACAGACATCAAAGTAGGTCTGTAGTTAAGTTTTCCTTTTTATATCCAAGGGATACATTTTGAAAAACTTAAGGAACTTATTTACTGAAGTCATATAGAAAGAGGAGTTTGGGAAATGAATACAGGAATTCAGACTGTCACCATTTCTGCAGAGAGCCTGGTCAGTTCCTGTGTGGGTTTGTGTGTAGCACTGCATATGGCTATGCAGACACAAACCAGAGACTCTGCAGCCAGGGCCTTGTTTGCCTGGCTACGCAGTGTCTGGTGTCCCTGGCTACACAGTGAGTGCTTGCACCATGATTCACCCATTTTTTCAACCCATGGAAGGTTGGCGGAGGGGGAGGTCTTTGATGCTGCCTCCATTTCAGTAAGGGGGGCTGCAGAGACTCCCCTTTGTCCTAGCCGTGGCACTTGTGGAATCTGGCTGCTGTCATTCTTAAGTGCACGCAGACATTCTGTGCATGCTGTCCTCCTCCAAGGCTCCAACATTGTCTCTTCTTCAGGAGATGTACTGAGAAGTCTTCTCCCCTGCTCTGGCTATTGCATTTGCTGTTTATAAAAAGAAGGACCTGGATATGAGTTCACAGACTGAGTTTCTGTGTGGTACACATGGTTTCCATAGTGTAGTGGCTACCCTAATTGCCTCACAGAAGTCCCTGATTCAGAACTGGGCGATTTAATAGCCTCCTGTTTGCTGCCCTTCCTGCCATCTGGCTGACAGATAAGGCCAAAGGGCACTTTTACACATGCTCCAGGGGTGAGGGAGGTGGTGCTTTAATTAGAGCAGCTCCAAAAGCTGCTCTAATTAAGGTGCTGCTGCATCTCATGTATTGGTATCTCCATGCTTAAAAATGGTGGCGAGGGTGCTTGAAGTATAGCTCATTCAAGCTTTAATTCAAGCGCCCCGCCACCGTTTTTAAGTGTGGGGACACTAATTAATGAGACACAGGAAGCTGCTGGAATGCAGTAATTGCCATGCTCTAGCAGACTCTATTAACTGAGTCTGCTCCAACATGCTGGAATTCCAGCAAACATTGGAGCAGCCTCTGCGCTCATGTATAGGCACCCAAAGCTGCTGGCTTGGCAGAAATGGTTGTTTCTGTCACAGCAGGAGAGGCTGGGAATTCTGCCTTGTTCCTTGTACAAGAAGGACCTCATTTTTCCAGAAAGAAAGATAAGCCTCAGCTGGGTAACTACATGTTGATCTATGAGCCTGGCTTCGTCTCCTTGGGGCAGTAGAGTTTGGGATGCCAGTCACACACTGGAGCTGTGGGTGGGAGGTGGGTAAGGAGTGAAGAGCACAGCCTCCTGAGATACTGGAGGATGGAGGTATGCCCTGTGTGTGGCTCTTTGCATAACTGGACAGGTGTTACATCTTGCACTGAAAATTGTCATGCTGCCAAGAAGTTGCTGTTATAAAGATCTAAAACTTCTTCATGAAGCTACTATTTTTTTTTTGTGAAAAACCTGAAAGACTGTATGAGTGCTTTTTGTACTGCTGCAAGGGCATATTTCTCAATAAACTGTAATGCTTTCCCATCGTTAGCCTAGGGTGGATCAGCTGTGGTGGCAGATATAGTAAGCTACTTGCCTGGAGAAGTTTGCGGAGATGCAACTGTTGAAGGCAAAAGTGAAAGTTTCTATGTGGAGAAGTACCTGGTCACTGCATTTGAGGATTGTGCCTGCTAGTCTGTAGCTAAACATCGTGCTGTTGATAGATCAGCTGTTAGAGGGGCTTGTATTTAGGTTAGAAATTTAACTGGTCCAAAGTAACTAGTCAGTTGAGTGGTGGACAAGTATTGTCAAATAATTTAAGAAATGGCTAAATATTTTAAACCAGGAGTGTCAAACATACAGGTAGATTCTTATGTTTAATTACAAAAAAAACAAGTGAATTGAATTAACTCAGAAAAAAAATGAAACAACATTTAAAACATTAATTTATTAAAATAATTATAATGAATTTCTAGCAATTTTAGGTTAGTATTTAAATAGAAAAGTTATTGAAAACTGAACCATTAACGGAATGAAATTAAGTAGAAACAAAACATTTTAAAATTCAATTTTTGATTGTGGGAAAGCAGAGCAGCTCTTTAAGTAGTTTACTTTGCAGTACCATCTTTTTCTTTATAGATTTCAGTTCCTTTATTTGTTCATCATAATCAAATTAATTAGTATTTACATCTTCCTCTTCATCTGAGAGTTGGTTTTTTTTCATCTCTAACTTCTGCTGTATGCTTAAATTGTGATCTAGTCACCAGCACAATCCTTTTCACCATGGTGAAGGAGCAAGTTCTCTTGATTCAACTGTCTGGATTGTATTTCACATGTTTTATGACTGAACATTGCTTTGTGGTTTATTATTTTTCACATAACAGTGCATACATTGTATAATCCTACAAAATTTACAATAGCTGCTCTAAGTTCACAACCTAAATCAGAGTCGTCATTGGAAGGGGTCTTGGCCTTGGACGTGTGGATTAAGAAGGTAAGCAACATTATATACAGAAGAATTTATTTATTTTGTCTATTATCTTTTTCTCTTCAACCTTTGTAAGTGGCCTTTGTTCAGTATCATCATACATCTATATTTCTCAGAGTTCAGGAACTTTTTCTTGTTATTAGACAAAATGGAACTTCTGTTTTTTCCACACCTGAATGAACTGAGCTATAGATTCAAGCATTGAAACACATTTAGAGTTTAATGCCAAAAGACAATCATCCAGAATATCAGTGCAGGCAACATGCATTATGCAGGAATAACACCTAGCAACCCATCTTCAACAGCAGCTGACTGAAGTGCCTTCAAAGCATATCTGAAGTTCTTTGAGTGCTTTAATGGAAGATCCTTACTAAACAACACTGAAATATGGCTGTTGATGCTTTGTTTTTTGAGAAACTTTACAAAGCTGTTCACTTCACATGATGGAAAAAGTTGTTAGATCATCACTGTTGGCAGTGAAGTGCATCATACCCACATCACAGAATGTGGGGATCTCATTTTATCAATAAAACCAAAGCAAATTTAACATTAGCTTTGTTGCCAGTCACAACTAAAATAGCTTTGTATGAACCCAATTTATTTATTACATTTTCAGACTGATTATCAATATTGGGTTGTGTGGTGATGCTCAGTTTTGCATTGGAATTAATTAAATGCTGATTTGGAATTATCATGACATTGCCCTCATGAATGTTGCTCCATTCATTCCCATACTAGACACTTTCAGGAGCTTGCGTAATCAGAACAGCATAACCAGCGGTGTGTGATTCATGGGGGTTTTCCTTCTTTTCTACAGCTGTTCTTCACGTGGTATCTGGGTGGCTCTTTCAAACATGCGATCTATCTCTCTGGAGGAGTGTCCTTGTTGTGTGAAAGCCTTTTTAAGGTTTATGAGGTGGCAGTTGAAACTCAAAAACAACATTGTAATTAGATTGGCTCTCTTGCTGCTTAATTGCTCTAATCTATTTGGCAACAAAATGCATAAATAGAATAGAATTTGCCCTTACCTTTCCTAAGAATTTCTCAGTGTTCATGTCCTTAAACAAGCAAAATCTTTACAAGTGATTTTGGCTTTTCCTGACTGCCTAATTTCTCTTTCACTTGCTGGAATCTGAGACACGTCATAGTTGAGAGACTTGAATTTAAGTCCACCCAGGGGCGATGCGTAGGGGGGTGCATATGCAGAAAGGCGGTCCATGATCACCCCTGGCTGCCGGTGGTGGCTGCCGGTGGTGCCTGACCTGTGGTCAGTGCCCCCCCCCCCCAACAGTGCGGGCGATGTCCCCATTGCTGGGCTCCCACCGCTGGCTCAGCTGTGCCCCCCCAAGTTGCTGGGGACGTGCCATTCATGAGTCCACCAGTTCTGTTTCTAACTATTATTCCAGAAAATTTCAGCAAATTAGTATGTTTTTGGGCATGGTGCCCTTTCAAGTAGGGATGTAAATTATTGGTTAAAAAAATCTGTTATACTTCTCTAATTATATTGGTTAACTGGTTAACCGATAACACAGAAGTTTGGACATAGCTGCTGCCTGGGGCTCTTGGGTGGGGGAGAAGGGGAAGGCAGGCAGTGGTGGCAACCTGGGGCAGACAGCACAGCCCCAGCGAAGCCCTTTCCTAGGGGGGAGGGATCACTTGTGAACCAGCAGCTGATTGCTTAATTGATGAGTCATTAGGCTGCCTTCTGTTTTCCTCTAACTTCATAGGCTATGGGAAGTAGTCCTTCTTTCCCCCTCCCCTTTTCCTCACTCCCTGATACCTTCCAGGTCTTGTGGGGCACTGCATGGCTTCCCTTCCCTGCCAGGCTGCATCCAGCCATGCACTGAACAATAACTGGTAAGCTAACAAGTTGTCACTAGACTTATTGGTTAAACTATTAATAGGCTTACTATTAATAGTTTAACCTCCCATCTCCCAAAAACTTTGTAGACTCCCAGGTCACAGAGGGGGACAGAAGTGGCCCCTTGTCCCTGTGGCAAGTGCAGTAAACATGGGAAGTGGTCCTGGACACACATGATTTGTACCATAAGGTTGGCTCCACCTGCAAGATACCATCTGTTAGAGCAGGAGAAGTCAGTTTTATGCTGTCAAGTGGGGGAGGGGGAGAGACCAGCCCCTTCTCCCTCTTCCCCTCTCCCCCGTACCACAGCATGAAACTCCTGCAGCCCCATATGGCTTAAGGGCAAGTCAGAATAATAAAAGGCCCTAAAAATTGGGGGTGGGGGAAGGGGTAGATTTCCAGACCTGAAATGAAGGGAGGTAGATGGACTACCGTGAGGCTAGGACTAGCACAGAGCCCTTCTGTCCTTGTGAACTACTGGCGTCAAGATGCAACTGAGAAGGTTGACTGCTGCCTGCATCAGGATGTACTTGTTTTGCTTGTATATTTTAGTAATATTTGACCATAATCAAATATTACTAAAATATTAGGTGGTCAGTTAATGACTTGTTAGTTACCTAGCTTGCCAGCCCTACTTGCACTGGTGTTTAAATGCTACTGTGGCTTCCCCAAGTTATGATGCTAGACAGTGTATAGGAGACTAATGGATTTGTTTGGCTGGAGATCCTAAATAGTATTTAGACCACTTTTCAGTTTCATGTGCCTACTGTTTGTTCTTTTATCATGTTTCATAGTTCATTAGCAGAAATAGGTCTTTCTTTTTGGTGATGCAAAGTTTGATTGGTCTCAGTGATTGATTTCACAAATGCTAATTGATCTGGCAAAGTCTCAAGGACCAAGGTCTTCACTTGATCTTACTACAAGTTTATATATCCCTGAAAAATACTCCTCTCATGTTATAGCTGCTTTCTCTGCTTTGCATAAGTTCTGTAAAAGCGAAGGGGAGGGAAGCAGAGGAGAGAGACAGAATCCCTCTGCAGTGTGCCCCAAGTTGTTGAGGGATCTGCATTGTGTCAGCAGGGTCAGGGAAATGCTGTTTTCTTACTCTAACCACAGTGAAACTGAAGAAAATTAATGTGACTGTAACCAAAAAAAAAATTTAAAAAATTAAAGAAATAAATGTATTTTTGAGAGGCCTTTTTATTAAGAATGGATGATGTTGGAGAGGGGAGCTGTGCCTCAGATTTTTTAGCAGAGTTGATGATGATAATAATAGTAATAACTAATTGAATTAATAAAAGTATGTATAAAAAGCCAATTTCCATGAGGCTATAGCACTGAGTGTATGCTTTATACAGATAGAGATCATAATAATCTGCAAGTAGAAGTCATCAAAATGTGTAAGCTGTTAGTATTGTGCAGGTTTCATTTGAGGGGATGGAAAGGAATCTGCCCTTTATGAATGGAGACCTAGCAAGGGGCTTCTAGTCTTCTGTTTTCAACAGGTTGCATGTTGTGACGAGAGAGAATCCAGGGAGCGAGGATAATTGCGTGAATGATTCTAAGTTATTCTTACGTGGGAGATATTCCTCAGTAGTATCTTCCATGTGGTAGAGAAGGATCCCATCCAAAAATGCAGTGGACAAGCCTAGAAGCTATGAAGCACAGCAACTCTTAGCCAGAACAATGTTGCCTTAGGTGGTAAAAGAGTGGAAGGGAAATTAAAATGTTGTATGGTTGTAAGAAGACACTGTTACCTTGCATTATACCTGAAAAGACACAGTATTATCTTTGTCTTAAATTCTGCTTTATAATGCATGTAGATTAGCACAAAGTGCACTGTTAAATAGTCTTTGCAGTAGCCTATATTGTTATATTGGGATTCACAGTGCGGAGGGGCTGACTGAAAATAACCACAGGCTTTAGTAGTTTTTGTAATCATGAGAATCTTACCATTTTGGTGTATTATGGATCTCCTTATCCTCTCATGTAAGCAATTTGTTTCCAATTCTTGTTTGTATTTGAAAATGCAAATTTAATTAAAAGCATAGAGCACTGGTCAAACTTATCCAAAAAATGTTTGTCTTTTCTTTTTCTGTTTCCTCCAGTACAATAAAAATGTTTGCCACTAGGGTATGTGCAGGGGGGAGGGAAGGGTCTTTTAGTCTGTAAGGACATGGGTACAGTAGTCTATGTTGATTGGGTGGAGAATGTATAAATAAAAGGCAGCCCATTAGTCCATTTGGTAAGATTTATGGTTTTGGGACACTTGAGCTGCTTTGGATTGGGGAGTGGGCATGTCATAAAGTCCCTCCCTGCCCCCACATCATCATTATTATTTTAGCAGTGCTGCTTCTGGTACAGGAGTGGCCATCTCTTGGTAATGCCCCACGTGCGTTCATTCATAGCCACTCAGAGATCCTTGCATTCTGGTGATTGGTTAATATGGAACTGGACATACTTCTTTTGCAGTGGATTGCAGGTATGCAAGCTACTTGAAAGCTGGAATTGTTAAGGTGCACACTTGAACATGTGTCAGTATTTTAAACAGGAAGAGGACATGTGGGCAAGATTACTTCAGAGCAGTGGAGGGCCCACAAATAAATAAGTAGGCAGGTTGGTACAGTGCAGTTTGGGATGGCAATGAGGACACTGAAGTGATACAGTTTGCTTGCGCTGGGCATGCATCTACACCCATGTACAGTTGTATAAGCCATTCTAGAATTCTGTTGCTTCCAAAATGGATTAATTAAAGCAAGATAAGATGGGAGTGGGAAGATGAGGAGGAGTGGAGAGAACTTGTGTGTGTGGATGCAAAGGATTTTATACTATACAAACTAAAATTTAAAATGGAAATAAATACTTTCCTTTATAGGCAGTGCCTGCAACTAAGGGGTGTGTGTGCTGAATCAACCTGGGTTTTGTCTCTCTTGAAGTATGGGTCAACAAGGTGTCACCTAATTTTTTATTTAATCATTCCTTCCACTGTTTCCTCTCGGAAATGGTGCACACTGGGGGACTGTTTGTATCAGTGATTGCTTAGAAGAGGGTGATAGTGAATTGCTAGTTACTAGTTTATTAGTACTGTTAGCGATGCTGAAGTGGCTTGGATTATGACCCTTTTTTCTATGTCTTCTGCTAATTTGTCATTCAAATTCTGGATGGCTGACTTTTCATCTCTATGAAATATGGTGTGGTCTGAGCAATGTTGAACCAGTTAAATATTTTGGATGAAAAACCTTTGGAATGTGTTGTTATAACAATGGTAGCATTGGAGTGATATTGTAGCCAAGATGGTCCAGGAATCATGAAGGAAGGATTATTTTGGATATCTTTTATTGGATAAATTGCATTGTTGGGAGAGATTTTTAGACAAGCTTTTGGGAAAAATATCATTCCTCGGGTCTCTTGCCATAGAAAATATTTCCTGTTTCTGGTACGCGTTGTGTAAACTTCTTAGACATGCTGTTTACAAGATCATGATATTATGGCATCTCCCAACAATTTGTGTTGCCTTCTCTTCAATTTTCCAGATGTTTATGGCTGTGTTTTAAAATATTTTTTCTTAGTTGGATCATTAGCTTATCAGGTTCCCATCAGCAGAGGATATTGGAATAGTATTTCCCATGGCTTTGCACTTGTTTCAGGAACTTGATATTGTAGCATCCTGCAAAAAAAGCTCTCCAAAGCCTTTTATCTCTTCCATGTTCTGTATACGAATGTAGAGAGTTCTCTTCTCTTCCACTCAGACGGCAAAAATACAGACCTGCCAACAATCCTTCTAAAAGCCAAGAAGGTTTTTTCTCAAATTGTGCTTGTTTCATTTTTAATTATCTTAATTAACATTCACTGGTAATTTTTATGGTACTCCATGTGTTGTGGGTCAGCTTTTGCTTAGTCTATCTAAGTCATCAGGTTCAAGAAGCAGAGGTCCCCTCTGTTACAGGCTTTGCATAATTCACTCCTTAATTGGCAGTTACCTTGAGACGAGCTACATGTGCAAAGTTCCTATTACACCATAAAAAACCTCCGACCAGCTATAAAGTTAGATTTCAAAGATGAGTATTAACTTCATAGCTGGTTGCTATTGAGCTTTTAATTTGCATATGTAGCAGGGTCTCCCCTGTGGCTAGCATCTACTGACCCTGGGTCCACAGCTGTGGGTGCTGGATGTTGGGACTCAGCTGAGTCCTGGCATGCAGCAGGTATGGCTGCCCTGAGGGTGAATGAAATGCCTGGGGCTTTGGGATTGTGGCAGCCAAGTCATGATTTCCCAGACCCAAGGGTGCATGGAGTGCCTCTGTGGCTGGGACCCCCTCAATTGAAGGGGCTTCCAGCTGCGGGAGCTTGCTTCTTGCTGGTGCAGGGGCAGCCTGGCAGTAAGGCACGGCGAGATCTAATGTGCAGTCCCACAATCGCACCTGCTGCCATGCATTTGTGGTGTTCCATTTTTGTAGAATTTGGAACACTTCTCTTATGACCAGGGATCCTGGTTTTCTCTGATTTTTTTTTTTTTTTAAATTGCATATTCTCTGATTTAAAGACCCAAAATCCGTGGTAAAAATTAAAGGCCCCTCACAGCTCCCCCAGTGCTGCTGGTGCCTCGCACTCCCCCCTAACAGCCTCCTCAGCCCTGCTGATGCCCCTCACTCCCTCACAGTAGCCCCCCAGACAGGGGAGTTGATCAAGAAGAGAGGGAGTGTGCCTCTGTGCCCACCCTCAGGAGCAGGACCAGGGGGTGAGGGCAGAGGTGCCACTCTGCAGGCCACATGCGCTGGCTGGCCTAATAGGGGGTTCGCACATGGAGGCTGCCACTGCACCCTGTGCTACCATCCCACAGCTACCCGCACCACTTTACAGGCAAGTGGCGCAGGGCATGGCAGCGGCAGTTCAGTGGCGGCCACCGTGTACAGGCCACATATGTACCACCCAGCTGAGGGGGGCGGGGTGGGAAGGGGGGCTTTCATGCAGTGGTCACCACTGCACTGTCACTTATGGCCTGCAACCAACGGTGTGGCTCTGCGGTGGGGTGGGGTGGTGGCAGCTGCATGCCGGCTATGGCGGTGGGCGGGGGGCTTTGTGGGCAAGCGATGCAGGGTGCAGTGTGGTGGTGCCTACCATGTGCGGGCCACACACATGCTGCCTGGCTGGGGGTGGGGGCGGAGGCTGGCATGCGGCCGGCTGCACAGCTCCTTGGCCACAGCTCTGCAGTGGCGGCGGGGGATGGTGGCTGTGGCAGGTGGGGTGGGCTCACACACAGAGGCTGCTGCTGCTTACCTTTAGAGCCGTGCCAGTGGTGCCAGCAGTGATGGGTGCTGCGTACAAAACCTCCCCACACTGCTGCTGCCGCCGCAGAACCATGCCCACGGAGTTGTGTGGCCGGCCACAGGGCGGCAGTGGCAGCGTGGTGGCAGCCATGGCTGTGTGGCATGGAATGGTGGTGGGGGTGGCTGCATGCTGCCCAGCTGCCACCACGCTGCCACTGATGCCCTGCGGCTGGCCCCACAGCTCTGCGGGCATGGCTCCGCGGTGGCAGCAGTAGTGCAGGGAGGTTTTGCATGCAGCAGCCATCACCACTGGCACCACTGGCACAGCTCCACAGGTAAGCAACAGCGGCCGCCGCGTGTGAGCCCTCGCCACTGCTGCAGAGCCGTGGCCATGAAGCTGTGCAGTCAGGCCCATGAGAGCTCCCTTCTCCCCACCCCTGGCCAGCTCCCTGGGTGGCATGTGTGCGACCCGCACATGTTGGGTACCACCACACTGCACCCTGCATTGCTTGCCTGCAAAGCCCCCAGCAGACGGGCATCCCTGCCCTCACCCTCTGACCCTGCTCCTGGCTGCAGTGTACTGTCTGGGGCTGACAGCATCCCTCAGCCCCCTTCCCCAGCCCTGCCCCACAACCCCCAAGCCTCACTTACCTCTAGGATCCAGGGGCGAAGGGCGAGTCTGAGCCTGAGCCCAGCTTTGGCTGACTCAGAGGCTGAGGTCCCACCCTTCCCCCTCTCCCTCCTCTAGGTAGGGCTGGGGGTTTCCCACCCTTTCTGCAATTGGCTCTTGCAGGCTGGAGCTGTGCCAGCCTGCAAGACCTCTTTGCGAAAGCGGAAAATCCGTGAATTTCTCTGCTAAAAGAGGAAATCTACATTTTCTCCGATAAAAACAGGGAATCATAGATTTCAAAGACATTAGGCCTGGAAGGGACCTTGGAAGATCATTGAGTCCAGCCCCCTGCCCCAGGAGCAGGAATTCAGCTGGGGTCATAGGATCCCAGCAAGATAAACATCCAAATTTCTCTTGAAGGCCTTCAAAGTAGGTGCTTGAACCACCTCTGGTGGCAGGCTGTTCCAGACCTTGGGGACTCAGACAGTAAAGAAGTTCTTCCTTATGTCCAGACTGAAACGGTCTTACAGGAGTTTATAACTGTTCAACCTTGTCATCCCTTGGGGCGTTCTGGTGAACAAATGTTCCTCCAGATCCTGGTGAACACCCCTTATAAACTTATAGGTGGCCATCAGATCTCCCCTGAGCCTGTGCTTTTCCAGGCTGAAGAACCGCATAGCTCTTAGCCTCTTGTCATAAGGTCTGTTTTCCTGACCTCTGATCATGCGCGTGGCTCTTTTCTGGACTCTCTCAAACTTCTCCACATCCTTTTTGAATTGTGGAGCCCAAAACTGGACTTCAGCTGCAGCCTCACCAAGGCTGAATACAACAGGAGAATTATGTCCTGGGATTTGCTTGAGAAATCAGAATCGGTGGTTTTCTCCATTTTTCCATGGGAAACAGAAAACCTGGATCGCTGCTTATGACTTAAAAATTAAAAGGAAGTTCCAGGAACTTAGTGCAAACTGGGCCTAAAATCATTGAAGGAAAACTTTCTGTAACTCCTAATATTTCTTTTTCTTTTATAGGCCGAATACATCAAGCTATGGTAACATCTCTAAATGAAGATAATGAGAGTGTAACTGTCGAGTGGATTGAAAATGGAGACACTAAAGGCAAAGAGGTACGGTTTTTTTCTATTGTAAAATAAAGAGTAAATGATGTCCTTCTTGAGAAGACACATTTTATATTGAATCTGAGTTCACACATTAAAACTGAGATGAATGTAGTTTTCATATTAATTGTAGTTCCGTGTGTCCAGGTTTTGTTTAGGGTAAGACTAACAGTGTTAAGAGTGCTGTATTTAATTTCCTGCATACACATTTCTGCCATAGTAGTAATATCTAATGCTTCATAATAAATCTTGACATGGTTTACAGTGGTCATTGTTAGCATATCCATTTTATGGACAAGGAGGGTGAGGCACAGAGAAGGGAAGTGACTTTTCCAGGATCACCCATCAGACCACTGCCAAAAACTGATTAATCTAGATATCTCACCCTTTTAGTGTAATGAGATTCTGTATACTAATGTCCAATAGCTGTCAAAAGTAATTGTAGAAATACTGACTATTCTTGTTTTAGTGCAATTACTTGGCAAAAATATAAATACTTAATGGTGGTTATAATGGTTATATCTTTGATTTATATATAGATTTTTCAGGCAGCCAAAGGATCAAAAAGTTCAAGAGGTGCCCTCACTCGATTGCCTGTGGTGTCTTGGCTTGCAAACCTAAACCAGCCATGGACCTAAATGAGTCAGTGTGTCTATTTGTTTGCAGTCCTAAACAGAGATGGGAAGTCTGAATTTTCTTGAAAAGTTACATGAGTATGTGTTCTCTTTTTAAACAGATTGACTTGGAGAGCATATTTTCACTTAATCCAGATCTTGCACCTGATGAAGATATTGAACCCAGCCCAGAGACACCACCACCTCCTACTCCCTCAGCCAAAGTAAACAAAATAGTGAAGGTTGGTGATATCTAAAACAATATGAATAAATCAAAGTTACTATGGTGTCATTTACAGACTAATATTAGATTTAAAATACTTAAGAATTTTATTTCTGTGCATTTTATGCTGTTTCAGGGATATTTTAGACCTCTTGTCTAGCATGAAAAATCATAGAAAAGTAGGGCTGGAAGGGACCTCTGGAGGCTATCTTATCTGACTCCCTGCCAAATGCAAGATCATCTGTATCCAAACCATCCTAAGCAAATCTTTGTCCAGCCTATTACTAAAATTACACTGGTGCCTGTGTCACACAACCACAAATCAGAGAGTAACTTAACCTGCCACAGATAAAGCAGGGCGACAATGGTGGCTAATGTCCTGCTGCTGCAAGAGTTGTTAACATATGCTCAAGAGATCCAAGGAAGAGGACCATTCCCCCTTCTCTAGAGGAAGACAAACCCCCCACAGTCCATACCAGACTGACGGTGGGGTCCTTCCTCTGATCCGAAATGTGGTGATTGGTCTGACCATGAGCAGAGGGGCAAGACCTTCTAATCCAGTGGTTCCCAGCCTCTTTAGACTATGGACTGGCAAACCGCAGACTGGCAAACTGCAGACCAGCATATTGCAGACTGGAAGTGACCGGCATACTGCAGACTGGCAGCCGAGCCTTTTTTAATATTCAATATAAAAAAGGGTTGGCTGTCAGTCCGCAGTATGCCGATCACTTCCGGACTTCCAGTCTGGCAGCCAGCCCTCCTTCAGACCAGCAGCCAGTTCTTCACAGTCTGATACCGGGCCATGGCCTGGGGGTTGGGAACCTCTGCTCTAACCGGAGACCTCTGGTTTTTATTCCTAACAGGAACATTGGCTCACCCCAGTCAAATGTAAATTATTGCTGAAGAACAGACTGAAAAAAGAAAATGGATGCATAACTACTATTTTACAAAGTGAAAGATGAATTTTTAGCTCCTAAATTATGTCTATAATTAGGTAATCTTTGCATACCTTGGGGATGGAGGAAGTCCCAGTTTCATTGTTCTTACAGAAGGTTTTGGAGATTTTGGACAGCGGTACCTTTAGCTGTCATGCTTTTCATTTTAAGTGTAGGTAGGAGGGATTCTGGAATGCCACCTCACTGCACCGTTCACACTGAGATTTATTTCTGTTTACTGGAAATAAGCAGATATTGGGCAATAAATTACAATATGGGTGACAGGATGAACAAATTCTAGAGATCTCTTTCTCTCTATAGAATCGACGGACTGTGGCTCCTATTAAAAATGAAACTCCTGCCAGAGACAACAGAGGTAAACAGTTGCGCCTTTTCATTCCAAGTAGTAAAACAGCAAAAATGCTATAATCCAGTTCCTTTTGAAGTTTAGTTGTAATTCTTCTTTATTTTTATTACATTCCCACATGGTATTTAAAGGAGAGGGAAAATCATTCCGGGGATCATTCTGTATAGTGTTTTTTCAAAAGGATATTGCATTACCAGTTTTTATGTGTAAATGTGTTATTGGAAGACTTAAGGCATATCTGCACTACAAAACTGGGGAAGGTTTAGCCAAATGAACAATGGTAGGCTTCCAGAATGTCTTCTGGTGAGCATTTGAAGGTATGAATAGGGGATAGAAAATTTTGTGTGTGTGTATGCGCATGCTCAATCAGGGAGGACAGAGATTGTGATTGGCCCAAGTGATATTTTTTCTAACTCTTTTTAATTTTTTATTGTTAATTTTTTTTAAAACATTTTTTTTTAAATCCATTTCTTAAAGTTTCGGTATTGTTAATGTTGCCTTAATATATTGAATAGTTGCAGAAAGTGTTTGAATTTTGAAGTAAATCTTCAGCTGGTAGAGAAGAACTGTAATTTTTTTCACTTTAATGAGGAGCAGTTTGAGAGTCTCTGCTGTTCCCCACAATTTGTCTTTCTCTCTGTTCTGTTCCATGCTGCCCTTTTATATATGGTATGCCCCATCCAAACTACTAAGAATCATTGTTCTCCCCTTCAGACCTCTTGTTAAACTTCTTCTGTAATCCTTATAGGAAACTAACCAGCAGAAAATGGATAGTTTTAAGAAGCTGTTTGGTATAGTTGGATGTTTTATGCATTTATAACACAATTTTTTTCTTTTGAGAGAGAGGTGAAACAATTGCCAGTGCCATTGAAGTCAGTGGGAGCTGGGATTGATCAGTGCCTCTGAAAATTGGGCAACTAATTTTAGTGCAGTGAGGGTCAGCCTTTTTCTGAGGCATGCCACAAATTAGCCCATACCCTCCCAAAATGCCACTCTGATTCCTCTTCTTTTATCCAGTCCACTGCTATTTCTGCTCCCTGCCTTATCTGCTGCTCTGCTTTCTTCCCCATCTGCTGTTGTGCTTCCTGTCTCCTTCCCAATCTGCTACAAGCCACATGCAGAAGCTGCCCATGCCACTTGTGGCACATGTGCTATCAAACCCTGCTTTAATATGTACTTTATTTACTCACCTGAATATTTGTCCTGACTGACATTTAAGTTAAGTACTTACATGGTTGGAGTATTAAGGCCTCAGTTACCAGTTTGTATTAATTGCAATGTTAGAATTAGTGATTTGCTTTGTGGTTTTTGTCTTTGTTAGCTAATGCCTGTTGTAGTTTCCTAGGAAACTTTGTTTTTACTTATGTCTTTCTCTTTAAACAAACAAACAAACCCTACTTCCAAACAGGTTATTTTGAGTTTTTCAGTCATAAAATAATTGGACACTTACATAGGAAATGTGAAAGCCATTTTGTGTAAATTAAATGATTATTCAATTTTGACATCTAGAATAATTAATTAAGATCAATTTTATGCTTTTGTTGCAGTGGTTGGTTCTGCACGGGCACGTCCTACTCAACTTCCTGAACAGTCTTCCTCTACACAACAGAATGGTAGTGTTTCAGATATATCTCCAGTTCAAGCTGCAAAAAAGGAATTTGGACCTCCTTGTATGTAAACCATGTATCAAGGATTCATTCATTCTAGGCATTACATGTCATTCTCTTGGATTACTAAATTGTCCATAAAAGAATGGTCTGTACCTATCATGTGTCTGTAGGTCTCCATAAGAAGCATTTTCAGTGTACTGTGCGGAGACAAAAGTTGAGTTTTATAACAGTCTTACTGGAAATTGGGGTTTACATTTTTCTTTGATTTTGTTTTTTTTTAAATAACTTTGCCTAGGGTTTGGTTTTTTTAAAAGCAAGGTGTTTTATTTTGTTCTGAATTTAACTTCACATGTTTTGGTCAATGTGTTTTTTGAGGGTTGTTGTCTATTTATTTGCATATTTATTTTCTAGAATACTTTTTTATAACTCATTTACTACAAAATTTTACATAGAAAGGTGTGTTGATTATGTCTGGCTAGTATTGAGCCATTTGAGAAGCTAATCAATATAAAGATATAAATGGAATGTATTTAATGACTGATTAAGTAACAAAGCTGTAATATAAATCTGTTTTTTATGGCAAGCTGGAAATTATTCAAAAATGTTATCTTTTTCTTTAAGCACGTAGAAAATCTAATTGTGTGAAAGAGGTTGAAAAATTGCAAGAGAAGCGTGAAAAAAGGAGGTTACAGCAGCAGGAACTCAGAGAAAAAAGAGCTCAGGTTTGTATTTTCAGTTTGGAGTTGAATTAGATGCATGGTGGAAAAGTCTGTTCAGGAAGAGAGGTATACAAATTTGCTATGATCTTCAGTGTGTTATAGGAGTCACGACTATGTGGAAATTAAATGTTTTTTTCAGATGTACAAAACATTGGTGACTGAATAACTAGTCTTTGGGTTCCACAGTCATTTTGATTCATGCTTTCATTGTGATAACTTGTTTGTAGCATTTTAAACCAATCTTTCTTTTCTATGACTGGTATCTACTTTTTAGGTTTTGCATTTACTAGCATGATCCATAAATGCTTACACATGGAATCTCAGTAACAACTATTGCTTCAGGAAAAAATAGGGACAAAAATGTCCTGTATTTGAGTAAATGTACTACAAGGTCCCCCCCCATCTCTCCCAATTTTCCAGGGGGTGGGGATCCTGTCATCTTACATTCACTTGTAAGGAAACCACATTAAATATATTGTCTAGCTTTGAGCTGTTGCTGAAAGCGGCATATGCTCAGTAATGGAAACCAACTATGAAGCTGATTAAATGTAGCCAGCACTGAGCATGACTGTAAAGTACATGACCCATATTGGGCAAACGTGCTGATGGGAACCTACCACAAGGATAGGTTAGTACAGCCCATCTTAAGATATATGGGAGTCCCCACTGAGCAGAGTCCCCCTCAGCACCAACTTTTTTCCAAGTCATGGTGAACCAGTGACTTGGAAAAGTCATGGCTCACCCTCAAATACAAAGGCTTCAAATACATTTTGACTTCCTTTTCATTCCCACAGCTGAGCTGTTCCTTTCTTTCCCACTTCCAATGATTCCTGTTTCTTCACCAGCTTTAAGCCCCTGGCAGACAGGGCCCCAAACAATTCGCCCAGAATCCCTCTGTTGGCCTCTCCCTCAGCCTGTCACATATGATTATCATGGCCTTGCCCTTCATGAGGCAAAACCAGACCAGGTTGCCCTGTGCCTCATGTGCATATACAGTTTTGGAACATCTCAGGACTCCATGACAAGAACAGCACCCCCATGACTGGAGTCAGGTAGTTAGCACATGGATCCTTTGTTGGGGGCAGGGCTGTCCCTGGGGGTGCAAATTGGGGTAACCACCCTGGGCCCCGTGCTTTGGGGGACCTCGTGGAGCAGAGTGGAGCAGTGGCGGTGCAAAGCTGGGTGGAGTGGCGGCTCCGCGTCCAGCCACTTGCTACTCCTCTCCCAATCCCCCCCCCACCACTGCCGCTGCCAATGGCTGCGGCAGCTTCTTTGGGTCTGGGTTTGGAGTGGAGGTGGGGCCCCACATGAGCTGATTTGCCCCGGGCCCCGCACCCTATTCGGGTCACCTCTGGTTGTGGGGAGTACACATCTGTTGAGCTGTGAGGTCACCATGGTTTGAGAAATGGTGTTGACTCTCGTGGGGCCCAGCCTAATGAACTGTATGGTAAATCACAAGCCTTTTGATTTTTGGATTAATATCTTCCATAGCTTGTACTTTGTATAAGTCAGTGCCGAAGTGCTGAGTAAGAGTGTGTTTATGGAATACCTGTGCTAAACCTGCAGCAATTTCAAAAAAGGTAAAATGCATCAGCTCTGGACAAACTAAGTCTGTGTACTATATGCAAATTGCTAAAGCTATATTTATTTCAAGATCAGTTTTTTCAAATTTGCTTCTCACTTCTGTGTGCTCAGTGAGAGCAGGATCTGACAGTAACAAGGGAAGCAAGTGGCTGCAGAGGGAAGTTGGGGGGGAAGGGCAGAGGGGCTATCTGACACCCCCCTCCCACCAATTTACTTTGCCTGCTGTAGCAGTGGGAGAGAGACAAATGTAAGGAAATCCCCAATAATTAGATTCTGTACCGGGAACACTGTAACGAATTTGTAAATTTTCCAAATATAGAATCTCTTTATTGGGGGGTTGTCTTATAATAAGGGCAGTCTTATTTTTAAGTAAATATGGTATTTTTAGCTTTTAGATAAGGCATTAACTCTGCATGAAATATTGTTTTCTGCTGGTTAATGGGGATATGTTGGAAAACTTGAGATTTGAAAAGTGATTTATTTTATGTACCTGGTCCAGATGTTATTGAATTAAGTGTTATAATATATAGTTGATTTGACGTTCAGTTTTTTAGAAGCTTTTGTGAAAAAATTGCATTGTTAAAAGTTCTCCCCTTGAAAAATTACTGTATTTTTCTCATATATTTCTCATATATCCCTTCCACTTGCTGCTTCCTTCTCCCCTGCACCCCCATGCCTCAAGCGAAAAACAGTGTATGTTTCTTAGCAGACTGGAGAATGGAGAAAAAAAGACACCCCTCCCTATGCCCCCAAGAATCATGGCTAACTGAGACAAAGTAAGTCCTCCTGGAAACAGACCACCCAGGAAGTGTGGCATTGCAGGAGGCGGTCTGAATAAAGCAACAGAAACTTCCTGGTGTGGCAGGACACATGGCAGTCCTGCCATACCAGGAAATTTCTGGGGGGTCATGCAGACTGTCTCCTGCAATGCCACAATTCCTGGGTGGTCTGTGTTGCCAGGCGGACTGACTTTGTCATTCAAGGCTAGGCCACAGACCTTTGATAGTGGGGTTGTAAGACGGTTACTTCTTTACTATAAATAATTCTTATATAAGTTACTTTAAATGTTGTTTCAACGCTGCAAGCTTCACAAGATTTTATTGCAGAGGCAGGCAATTATTTCAGCTAGAGGGCCACTTAATGAGTCTTGGTGAGCTGTTGAGGGCTGCAAGGGTATCCGTTCCCCTTGACAGGTGCCCTGCCCCCTGGTCACCCTTTTGGGGTCAGGATTCCTGCCTCTAACCCCTGACCTTTGCCACTGGAAGCCCTTCTCCTTGTCACCTGGAAATACTCGTTTTGGTAGGGCAAGGTTGCCATCTTGGAACCAGAAGAAAACCAAATCATACACTAAGAGTCAAACATCTGCTATAACATTTTAATTTTTATTAAAAAAATATTTTGTCATGATTTGTGATTGCATAATAACTCAAAAATAGTCTTACTCTTGTATAGTGTGTGGGGGCATGGGGTGTCTTTGGGGGTGGGGGTGGGGGGAGATTGTGAGGGGATGTGGCTGTATGTGTATGGAGGGCAATAAGGTATGTTGGGGGGTATATGGGGGGATTGTTGGGACAGGGTGCAAGTGTGTGGCATTTTGTGGGTGTGAGGAACGGTGGGGGGGTGGGGACCCCCGATGCACCCCCCAGCGCACTCTTTTTCCTCCCCTCAGGGCCATAGCCCTTCAGCTGGCAGCAGAAGCAGGTGGCAGGCACTTGTGGCCCACGCAGGTGCTGCTGCTGGCCAGTGTGCAGCTCCAATGAGCGCTGCATGTGGTGGCAAGGAGAATAGCTAGGCCAGCCCACCTCTATTGCATAGTGCTCCGTGCTGTACATGTGCAGCTCCCAGCACTCATGCGCCACTGGGGCAAGCCCTGCACAACAGAACTGGCTGCCTTCCCCATTCCCTGCCAAGTAGGTCCCACGACTCCTCTGGGAAACGGGGGGTGGGGCTCTGCTCCATTTCTGGTGGAGTCCCAGGACTTGTACAGCAGGGGGCAGTGAACGCAGCTGGCTCCATTGTGTGGGGCTTCCCCCAGTGATGTGCAAGTGCTGGGAGCTGCACATGTTCCACACAGAGCCCCATGCAATAGAGGCAGGCCAGCTGGGCTGTGCTCCTTGCCACCACATGCAGCGCTGGTCGGAGCTGTGAGCTGCCAGGCAGCAGTGCCTACCGCCTGCTCCTGCTGCTGCTGTTGATGGTGGCTGTGAGCCGTGTGGGGGATCCTCACACCCACACTCTGCCCACCTGAGCTCTGCACTCTTGCTACCCCCCGGGTGTGGGCTCCATGCTGCCCCCAGCCCCATGTTCTGTGTCTCCACCCAGCCACAGCTTCACCCTCTGCCCCAGTGCTTTCCTACCTGGTGCCCAGAGTGAGTGGGACACTGGGGAAGCCAAGCAGGTCCCATGGCGGCTGCAGCAGTGGCAGCAACAGCCCCACCTGGAAGCTGTGTGCTGGCTAAGCCGGGAAGGGTGAGAGTGAGGCATACGGGCTAGACAGGGTACAGTTAGTTGGTTGGCTCCGATAGGCTGGATGAAATTGCCTGGCAGGCCAAATTTTGCTTGCCCTTGTTCTAGTGACTCAATGCAACAGCTCACTTGCCACTTGGGCACAAGCTACAGTGGTTAGTCTGAGAGGGTTAACACTGCCTGTTGGGCTTGCAGGGTCACGTAGAACTGTCAGCCATCTTAAGCAGTCAAGCTTCCCCACTTAAGCTGGAGAAGTATGTGTTGTATGCTATGAAATATGGTATTTGTTTTAAAATGTAATTGTAATTGCATAACAGTCTAATAAAAAATCTTCAGCTCTTGAAACTAAAGAGTTAAATATTAAAAATAATTTTTAGGACAATACTTTTCTGGAGTGAACTGTGCATCTCTTTGATTGGTGGGAGAAAACCATGCCAGTAATACATTTTGTATAGATCTACCTAGAAGTTTTCCATTTTAAGTAGGAATTAACAATTTTTAGATTACATCATGTGCTATTTGCTATTTAATGGGGACATTTTTAGGAAAACGCAGTAGTAATTTTGTCTCGTCTCATGTTGAGACCTTAATCAAGGACATTTCCCACTGCTTACCAATTTGAAGATCAATTTTAAAAATAAACAGAACAATTGTTTTGCTTTTTCCCGTGGAAATACTACTTGCTTGTTTGAGTAAATAAATCATATGGTATAGTAAAAACAAAACATTAAACTACATTAAAAATTCTAGGAACACTGTGTGGTTTAACTAATGCAAAATATGGCTAAATTATTTTGTAAAAAATATGGAGACTTCAGTAAACACATCCTTCCAGCCTTCTTTCTGTAGCTTTTCTGGAAACTATTTACAGAGTTAAGGAAAACTGAATCTTCTAATGCTTTTCATCATTTTTATAGGATGTTGATGCCTCAAATCCAAATTATGAAATTATGTGTATGATAAGAGATTTTAGGGGAAGTTTGGATTATAGACCACTGACAACTGCAGATCCTGTAAGTTTATTTTAGGAATTGTTTAATAAAATTACAAATATATTTACAGCTTTTTTTTACTTCTTATATTTGGTGCTATCTATACTCTTTTAAATTCATTGTTGTATTTATTAGTTGTGGGTGCTTACCACATGCCTGTTAATCTTTTATATTATGTAGTTATTGTTTGTTTTATTGTTCAGTCTTTTGTAGAAGGCAACTTGCACTGAAAGGAATAACTACATTTTATAGGATTACAATGTTAGAACTCTACAGGCATGTATTATAATTGGTCTGTTATCACTTGTACGCTTGGTTTTCTTTAAAGGATCCAAAGTGAGATAGGCACCTAACTTACACACTGAGCTGGAACTTCTATCAGTAAGATTGTGCCAGCCTTGGAAGGTAACGAGGAGTTTCAGTTCCCATGGATAATTTATATCATTTGAGCATCTGCCCAAATAAAAGCCGAGGTTAATCAGTGCCCTCTGGGATGTGGTTGACAGTCTACAAGATCAGAGCCTAAGCGTTTGTTACAGTGAACATAGGGTTGAGCCACAGGGTTTTTTGGATCTTGTGTATGCAAAACCTCTACAGTCAGAATTTATTTATTGGAAGAAAAATTTTTACAAGGCAGTAATTAATCAAAGTAACAGCTGTACTGATCAACTTTTTAAAGATAAAAAAATCCCACAGTTGAAATGAGTATTTAACCAGTTGTTTCTTTTTTAGATTGATGAACACAGGATATGCGTTTGTGTACGAAAACGGCCACTCAATAAAAAAGGTATGGCAATTCACGTGTTTGGTTTTTGTTTGTTTGTTTGGGTTTTTTTGACAGGAATTTATCTTCGTAAACAGCAGTTCTTAGAGGTGATAGGATTTGGTATCTCTAATTGTTCTTGTAGTACCATAAAAATTGTAGCCATATTCTGTTAGGCTGGGGTGGGCAATTTATTAGGGCCCAGGACCACGTAGGGAGTTTTGATCAGCTGTTGTGGGCCGGGTCAGCACTTCCCCTGTCACCCCCAAGAACTCGCCTGAACTCCCTATGGGGCTGTGGGCAGGTGGGAGCAGTATTGAGGAGTAGAAAGGAAGGGGCGGGAGAGGCTGGGATCACATGCCTCTGCCCTCTGGGGTATGGGGAGTGTGTGGGGAGGGGGTTGCCTGGTGCTCAGTTGGTCCTGGGAGCCTGATGTGGTGGGGGGGAGGAGGAGTGCATGCAGCAGAGCTGCGCTGGCGAGTGCGGTCCATGTGGGGAGTTTTGAGTTGAGCTGGGCAGTGCACTTTTATTATCTTGAATATCACTTCATTGCTTTAACCATAAGATCATGCTTGTCCTCTACTTTGTCTCATATTTTCTTGAGGTGATCTGCAATCTGTTATCTTAAGTTATTGTTAAAGTTCTTACTCAGTGTATGTATTCCAGTAATGGTGAACATGGAACATTTATAATCTGAAGTTTAAATGGCTAGGATGCATGAGTAACAGATATGAGTATATGTGCATAGGATGTCTGTTGTTTATTTTTTTTAATGTGTGATGGGTATAGTAATATCCTGAGTTAAATGTTGTTGTGACCCAAGTTGAAGAAAAAGTGTTTTTTTTATGTTTTTATTTTTTTTTTTGTTTGTTTGGTTTTTGTTTGTTTTTTTTAGAATTGAAGTGATATTGTATGGGATATCAAATGAGGAGAGCTGTGCGTGAGGTGTGAAAGGCTAGGGGTGTCGAAATAGCTCCTCAGTGGAAGAGGAGAGCCGTATTCTAATAAATCTGTTATATTAGGTGGAGGAATATGTTCATATGATAGCCAGCTCTCTGTTCCCAACTATTGAACCCTAATTGAAATGAGTTAATTTATATTTGGAAAAGCATTTGCCCTGGGTTGGCTGAAGATCTCAAAGAACATAATTTTCTGAACTCAAAATACCACAGATTGCAATATATCATTCTAATATTGTCAGAGAATTATACATTCTGGAAAAATTTCAAGAATGAAGAAAAGGATTTCAGAGAAGAAAAAATAAATGTATCTAGATAGTGAAAGCTCTTCTTCCATGGCCTTTTTCTGTTTCTTCTTTATTACTTTTTTCCTCTTATTTCCTGTGGTTTTTAAGGGTTTTTTGCTCTCTGTTTTCAGATCAATAAAACCATCTAAAATGTGGTTAATTTTAAAGCTGCCTTCCACAGCCTGTTCATTGGGGGCATTCAGCACATATATTTGGTAGCAGTTCAGTTTTCCATTTAAGCATTCTATACATTTTTAATAGAGTATGATCTAGAAATCCAGTGCTTTTGTGGAGAATGTATTTGGAGAGAGGGTTACAGGTAATAACTTACTATGCTGGAACTTAGTCGGAGGAAAAAAAGTAATAGCACATGGTAGCAAGCCATCATGAGACATGACTTAGGGTTCAGAACAGAATCACTCGGTTCAAGTTGCAACTACTTCCTGGTTCAGTGATTGCTATCAAGTTAAGAAAAGTAATTTGGTTGCAAATGAGAATGGCTGGCTGCTAATTTTTTGCATTTGGTAAAGGACTAAAGAGCAATTCATAGAATAAATGATATTATGGAAATAGCAAAATGTGCGCTTTTCGTAACATCTGAAAACATGCCTGCTTTATTTTGGAGGTTTAAAAGGAATGAGACTTCAATTGCCCTAATCTTTAGTCAGAGAATAAATAGACCTGAAGGTATGAGTATGTGCTGCCTTGAAGGGGAAGAAGAGAAATCTGTTGTGAATTAACAAAGGAATAATTTTTGCATTCAAGAATGTAAAGGTTACTTACTCCACACATGCACATTTTTCCACATGCATGCCTTATGAGCTGTATTGGTCATCTACTTTAAACCACTGTAAAACTTTGCGTGTGTAAGACTTAAATTGTATTCTTAGAAACTTTGTGGGTGTCCCAATAACTCAGCATTGTCTGATAACAGAGCCCTAAAATGTTTATAGACTTGTGGGTAATTTGAAAGTTTGAGCGATGTTTATATATTTACAACCATCATAAAAGAACTTAAGAGACCCTTGGATAATTGTTTTAGAAGCAAATAATTTTTGGGTAACTTGAGCCTTGCCTCTGTTGCAAAGTTCTGTGGGCACGTTTTTGCCATATGAAAAGATCCTGCGTGATAATTAATATAGCTTTGCTGGCAAAATTCCTTCTGTAGATACCAGCAGAAGAAAGCTTTTCCTGTTTAGGATTGCTAGTGTAACTAGCAGAATGGTCCTCCTGCTGGCTCTCCTTCGGAGAGTATGGTTGCTGCAGTGCCTCCAACATAATTAAAAGCAGGAGTAATCCTACGATTTCCAGCCTAAAAAACTATGTTATCTGGCCCATGAGCTTTCCCAAGGGTCTGAAAATTTAGTGGCAGGGGAGTGGTGGAACTTAACATGGCTACTGCTTCCCCACTGCCAAATTACCAAACCCTGCAGGCTGGATGGCATAGCCTGCACCACAGCACTGCACATGCTGAATTGGGCCCACGGATTGGATCTGGCCCATGGACTGAACCTGCACTACTTATCCAGTCTGTAGGGCCAAAAGTTTGGGCACCGGTGGTGTAGACTGTTTAGAAGTAAGCTTATGGTTTGGTTCCACAATTTCTGCACAACGTATTTTGGAGTAATGTAGTTGGAAATGAGGTAATTGCACAGTGACGTGGATTTGTGTTGCTGCTTCATGCCTGTGCCACTAGAACCTAATTGCCAAAGATCAAGTCATAATTATTGAATGTAAAGTTTGTCATCTTATTGTATTAAAAAAAAAACACATCTGATTCTTCTTAAATTGTGTACCTTCTATATTTTTATGTAGAAAAGCAAGTAAGCGACAATTAATGCACTTGACTGTACATACAAAATATCTTTATTTTTGTTCATTTTTTAGATCTTTGGGTTCTACATGCATGTTTTGCTGATTCCTATCTCGTACAATTAACAAGAAACTGCAAAGATGTGTAGTAAATATTACCTGTGAAATCCATAAAGAAATCAAATCCAGGCGTAAATGATTAATTTGAAGAGATAACCAACATCCTTTGAGTTCTGTACCCTTTTCTTTACATAAAATAATTTTAGAAAGGGAGCTCATTTTAGAGGAATAACATTTTAAGATCTTTTGTGTTTTCCTGACTTAGAATTTGGCTCCTAAACTGATTCTAAACAAGACTATATAGTGCATAGGGCGTGAATATTAGATTTCTGTTTTTTGAAAAATATTCATGTAATACTGATGTAGTATTAAAGATTTAAGCACTGGTGGTTTTAATTCTTTTTAGGTAATTTTAAGTTGTTTGTAACTTTGAATGACAAGACAAATATTGTTATATTGTAGTTGTCTAACTGCAAAGATTGTGTGTCAAACAGACTTCTATCTAAAAGAAAAAGATAAAACACAGAGTCATAATCTTTGAGTATAAGATAAAATATAATCTATATTAACTCCATCATTTTAGAAAAACCATTATAGGATATAAACAGGCAACTCTGAATTATGAAACCTTCATTCTTTTAAGTGGTACTAGAAAGGGGAACAAACTGTTGTCTTGAGTAATTTGTACAATCTCTAGGATTTCAGGTGGAATTATGCACGAACAAATCATAATATAGGCCTCAGGAGCCTAGATTCATGTTACTTGGAAAAGGTTTGTTACCTTGGGCAGTTTAAGAATGTAAATGACCTAATGGTGTAAGAGTTAATATCCACTGATAGTTGTATCTGTTTCATTTACTTAACAGAAACGGTAATGAAAGACCTTGATGTAATAACAATTCCTAGTAAAGATGTTGTGATGGTACATGAACCGAAACAAAAGGTGGATTTAACAAGGTACTTAGAAAACCAAACATTTCGCTTTGACTATGCCTTTGATGACACAGCTCCTAATGAAATGGTTTACAGGTATGTGTATAAATATTCCTTGTGGAGATTTTTATTGTTTTCTTCTGCTGTGACTAACTGTAGGCTTACATTGGCTATAGCCTTCACTCCTTCTGTCTTGAAACTTCAGTGTTGACACTTACATTGATTTGTCAATAAAGCTTTGGTTTAACTCAGTTTTATTCTGAATTCTTTATTTGTACATGTATCTCAGCTTTCTAGATGCTAGCATGTACAGAATATTGCTACATTTCTCATCAACCCTGTCTTAGAATTATAGAAAATTAAGGTTGGAAAGGACCTGATGAGGCCATCTAGTCCAACCCCCTGCTCAGAGCAGGACCATCCCCAACTGTAGCATCCCAGCCAAGGTTTTGTGTAGCTAGGTCTTAACACCCTCCAAGGATGGAGATTCCACAACCTCTCTGGGTAACCTGTTCCAGTACTTTACTACCTTCTTGATGAGAGTTTTTTCTTTACGTAAACTTCCCTTCCTGCAACTTCAGACCATTGCTCCTAGTTTTGTCTTCATACAACTCTGGCAGCTTTCTGTTAACTTCAGGGTCCACCTAAATTAGTATTAAAAGCTTATAAATATTACAGAAGACATCAGTTCTTAATAATAGACCTGTCATAACTCCTGGGGCCCTTAATTATGAATCAGCATCTCATTGTTCTAAGTGCTGTGGAAACAGAGAACAAAAGGGCATTCCCCAAAGAGCTGACATCTAAGTACAGAAGTTGATTATTTGGTAATCGATTACCTGCAAGGTTTTTATATTAACCAAAAAATGTGGTTATGTTGGTTCCACCAGTGTAATGAAAGTTACATGTCTGGCAATGCACATGGACTTCACCTTGACTCCATTTGGTTGTAGCCAGAAATCTTGGTCTCGCACTTCTTAGCATGGGTTACTGTACAGTAATTTTAATTATGTAAACTTACTGCAGTACATAGAACCATATGTTTATTTCATGTTCTTTTAAAAAATATTTCCTGTATAGCAATTGTGTATAGTTTTTAGTGCTCTTCTCTACTGTGGTGTTTGATTATCCAGAATGACGTTATTTATCCTGGATTATTAACGCTATTGTATAGGGTGAAAGAGGAGGACAGGTGGATACAGATAGAACAGCAGGGGGTATACAAAGAGATGGAGAGTATGTCTGCACTTCAGTATAATGTGGAGAATTAGCTTGGGTACTAGAAGCAATCTAGCTGCAACAGCACTGTGCTATGTCTGGGCTAATTTGTTGTGTTGGAAAAGGTACAGCTTTGGAGGACCATCAGATCCTTCTTTTCACCAGTGTTGTTCTGAGTTTCAGGTCCATAGTTACTTGTGGAACAATGCACATTTTATTTTGCAGTAATTCTTTTGTACTACCCCAGCTAAATTTGATTCCAGTATCTGACCTAGCTGAGGTGTTGCTACATGACGTGCAGTATACAGTATAGACTAGCTCAGTAACAACACTGATTAGCATTCTGGGCAGTAGGCTTGGTACCCAAGTGGCCTAACCCATTAAGTTAGGTTTCCTGCAGGTGAAATTGTTCAAAAGGAATTTGATGGGGAAGAGAGAGGTGGTTTTGTGCATGTTTATGGAAGTACTTCCCATGCTTAATGGGCAGCAGTAGAGAGAACTTCTTCATTCTTGTTTTTAATGTGTAATAAGTGGATGATAGAAGCTGGCATTGTGAGTCGATTGGTACTGGGAGTTGAGATTTTGAAATTGAACAGAAGGTGAAAATTAGGATGAAGACCTTGATAAAGAGCTTATGTTTGTGATTCAAAGAAGGCAGAGTCAACAAAGGGAAACATGCCCTTTGTATTTTAAAAGCAGTTTCTTGATGTATGCTGGAGTCAATCTGTATCCTTACATGTTTCTTCCTCTTATTCCTTTGCCTTTTCCTTTCATTGTCCAGTGTTAGCCTTTTTGTCCCACTCCAGTCCTCCCCTTTGAGAGCCTTCTGAATAGCAGTATGTGCTTTTTGCCTTCATGTTAATGATCTTTTCCCCCCCTATATCTGAATCTGTTTAACTTCAGTTTTTTCTTGCTGTTATTTCTGTTTTATCTTTGTAACTGTACTATTTAACTCTAAAAGGTATTTTGGAAGACAGTTGGTATTAAAGTTTGTATATTCAGACCCTTCTGCATAGCCTCTTTCAGAAAGTTAATAAAACCTGCTGGAAGAGGTGTGTGCATGAACTGAAAAACAAATCTCAACTCTCTCTATTCTAGTAGGTTTCATTTTTCCTTTCATAAACAATGATTCTTCTTCTACTTTTTGTTGAAGGAAAATCCATGTCATATTCCTCCCATTGAAGAACAATTTGAAACAGGATAGGTGTCCTCATGTACTCCTAGCACTTCACTTACATCAGAATAAATAAACAGGTTTTATAATTCAGGACTGTAAAACTGCTTATTATTTTTTTACACTGAAAGGTTTTATCAGGGATGCCTGGCTATTCTGCAAAATCCTATAGTTTTTGATTAAATAGTGTTGCTATAATATTTTTCTGAATCTATGGCAGTCATGCCAAAATTATAATTTTTTCTTTAATAAAAAATGCATTCATTTTTAAAACTGACATTTCTTCTGAATTTTCAGGGACGACTGCTCTTTATATTTCTGAAAGGCCTATGATTGCATTTTAGGAATAACATTGGCATTTTTTAGTTTTTGAACTGTCAATGTTGTATTAAATATTACGTAGATATGGTTGTATTTTTGCTTTGTATTAAGATGGATGCAATTAATGCAACATGCGTATTTTCAAACCCAGATAAATAGGTGGCTCACATTTTTGTTTTTGGGTTAGCATTTTAATTTTTTAATACATTTTCAATATTAAATGCTCCAAAGTCCTCAATGACCTCAAGTAAATGTCCCTTTATAGTACCATGGGAAAACATAAAAGAAATAAGTGTTTCAGGGAAAAAAAAGGATGAAGACTTGAATTGATTTGGATTTTTTGGCGTACTTTGTTTGGAAAGTGTTGATTCAAAGAAATGGACACTTCTCCCAGAAATGTACCAATTTTAACAAAACTTTTGTTGCCAGGGTGGAACAGAAACAGATTGTAAATCCTCAGTTTTTTGTGGAGTGAAATCTTGTTCTTGGCCATCCCTAAAATGCAACATGTGACACAGTAAGATCTGATAGGCAGTATAAAGAATCTGCAAGAAAGGAGAGAAACTAAGCAGTTATCACAGGGCCTCTGCCAGGCTTCCCTTTGCTTTAGCAGTTTTCATGAAGAATGGCAAGAAATTGTAACAAATCTGAAGCAGCCAGGGGAGAAATAATAGTTTTAGTTTTAATGTATTTTACCTAATAAAAATGAAAAATAGCAAATTATACTCTGAGATCAAATGGCTTTTCCTGTTTCAACAACATGTGTGAACTCTTTGATGCCTCTGTAGATCCAGTATTTTTTGGCTGACCATATACTAGATTTAGTTAATCTTGGAGGCTTAAAAGAATTAACCAAAGATGCATCTGTTTCAGCATTCTTCGTGCAGAAGTTCCTAATGCCCCTTCTTCAGAGGAAAGTGAAATCTTCCTATAATGTGCCTAGCCAATTGTGTATTATGTTCTTTCCAACTTTGATGCAGTAAGAATTGCTGTTTCCTGGGTCAGACCATAGGTCCATCTTCCTCAGTGTCTTGTGCCACACAGTGGCAGAGAGTGGATGATGAAAGGAACAGTGAACTGGGTATGACCAGGGTTTTTTTTTCCCACTGTTCCTCTCTCGCTTGTAGCTGTAGCATTTAAGGTCTAGGAAGTTCTGATTCAGAGGCTGTATCTCTAACTCCCATACTCAGTAGCTGCTGATGTCCCTTTCCTCCAAGAATTTGTCTAATCCCTTTTTGAATCTAGCTAAATGTCAGCTTCCACAGTATCTGGCAGTGAGTTCCACACTTCAGTTACATGCTGCGTGAAAAAGAACCGTCCTTTTGTTAGTTTTAAACTTCCTACCTGCTAGTCTCATTTTATAACTCCTAGTTCTTGTATTGAGAGAGTAAATAAATACATCCCTATTTGCTTTCTCTTTGCCATTATTTTGTAAATCATTATCATGCTCCCCCTCAAACTTCTCTTTTCTAAACTGAATAGGCCTAGCCTCTTCAGTCTCTCCTTGTATAGAAGCCCTTCTGTATCACTGATCATCCTTGTTGCCCTTCTCTAGTTCTTCTATATCCTTTTTGAGGTGTGGGGCAGGCAGTGTTGGAAGTGTGGATGCACCATAGATTTATAAAGGGGCATGATGATACTTTCTGTTTTGTTTACAAGAGTTTTACAATAATTTTTCCTTGCCCTAGTTAAAGATGAATTTTATGCTCAAGTGAGAAGGTGGAGAGTTGCATCTTTTGTTTTTGTAAATTTACCAATGGGGAACAGTAGGCTATTTGGTACAGGAATTAATTCAGAGAGACCTATGGCCTGTTTTCTGTAGGAGGTCAGGGTTAGAGATGTGAAGGCCTGGGGAAAAAGCTGAAAAACTTAGAAAACTGTTTTTTGTTTTGTTTTGTTTCCTTCCCTGTTCTTTTCCAAGGACTTCCCAATTTTTCCATTGGAAAAAAAGGAAAATGTTGGGAAAAACTTAAACCTCTTATGAAATATTTTATTTTAGAGTGGTGAATGAAATGCTTTTTAAGAAAAGTTTTTCAAATATTGTTTATTATATCTTCCCTTTACTCCCTCAGAATTATTTCTAATAACTATATAGTATGAAGATGTTTTATGTAAGACAGTCTACTCTATTAGAGCATTACAATTCCTTTACATGGTAGACATGACACAGCTCTCAAATCCAAGATGCATTTCTTCCCTCAAAGGGCGCTGCCATCTGCACAGGAAGAGGAAGGAAGGATTCAGGGCCACCTTTTCTTGTATATTTCTGCACTGCCTGCAGCCTTCCTTCCTCTGGTGACCTTTGATCTAGAGTTTGGTGGAAATAGAGTAATATGTTTTCTTCCTGAGTCCTGACTAGGCCCCTCAACCCGGTCACCTCTCCCCTCAAAGGATTGGGGGTGGACACTGGAGTTCCCTAGTACAGGGAAACAAACAGCTTACTGCTAAAGTCCTGTTGTGGGAAGCAAAGCCTCAGAGGAAAAAGAAACCTAAAGATTTTGGTGGTGGAATGGAACCTGCCTCCTCCTGGACCCTGTGACCCTGAGATCCAGAGAAGTACCTAACAAACTGCATCTAGCAACACAATGAAGCAGAAAGTAGACTTCTTATTTATTGAAAGGTAAGAGTTTCAATTTATTTTGAGTTGATTATGTTAAACTATATTTTCAGTTAGTATATTTTCTTAATTTGTCATTCATAATGGAATTGGTATCATTCTGATGCTTTCTGAGCAAATCACCCTCTAGTAGTGAGATGAGGTCTGAGGGAAGGGGTTGTTGACAGTGATCTTACTGGGGAGGGCTTCCCTCCATCAATTGTTACATTTTTCACATGCTCTAGCTTTGTATTTATATATGTAACTAGCAGCTAAATTATGTATTTCTTTTTTCCCCTCAGCAACATGGTGCAACCATCTTCTAACATATGGAAGCATTTCCACACTACAACTACAAGTCATTCTGAACACGCCCCCCCGTGTTTTGCAAATACCATCAAATTAAATATGCATTTCCAAATGCTACCAGGATGACCAAACATATATCCTTGCATATATAAAGTGTCCTGCAGACATAAAAATATCCTTCATCAGCGAGTGAGGTAGATCAGGATGACAGTGGAAGTAGCACTTGGAAACGGTCTTGATCTGGTAGTCCTCCTGGTCCTTCTGTAACATCAGCATTACAAAATGTTGTCCAGTCAACGCCATCAGGTAAACAGATATCTCAACTAACTGTATCCAAAAGACTCCCAATAACTTCATTTCTAGACAAGATGACACCTGAAGAGCAAGAAAAAAATGACCAAGTTCTTGCAAGAGCAATGTATGCTTCTGGGATGCCAGTATCAATCATTGAAAATTAACCTTGCCAGGCAGCATTTAAATTATAAAGACCATCATACCACTTATCCAGCAGACCATTCTTTGAGCAAGCCTCTTCTGGAGTCAGAATAATGCAATCTATGCATAAAAAAATCAATGAAGCACTGTCTTGCAGTACTTAACTGATGGCTGGATAAATGTACGGGGAGAAGGAATCAAACTTTGTAATAACAACACATCAACCAGTTTTTTTTATAAAAGCATTAAAACAGGAGAGAACAGACATACTGCAGAGTATATCAGTAATAAAATATGTGAAGTCCTATAGAAGATTGGGAGTGGTAAAGTATTTGCTTTGCTGCCTGGCAATGCAGGTAATATGAAAGCAGCATAGGAATTCATAATGGACAAATATGCACATATTACTGCAATAGGGTGTACTTCCCACGGCCTACATTTTTTGCTTAATGATTTTATGAAGTTGGACCCACTGCAAAAGATCTTTAATAGAGCAAAAGAAATTATAAAATATGTAAAATCTACTCACATTGTAGCTGCAATCTTTAAGAAGAAGCAGGAAGAAAAGAATGGGAAGAATAAAATGGTGACGCTCAAATTTTGTAGTAAAACTAGATGGGGTGGAGTGGTGGTCTCATTTGAAAGTTTACTAAAAAAACAAAGAAGCTCTTCAAGAAACACTGATAACTGAAGATCTTAAAGTAGTCTGAAGCGTAAAGAACACTGTACTTGAGGATGTCTTCTGGGTCCAGCTGGAGCAATCACTGCATTTGAGTCAGACAGTGCCCTTTTGTCAGACATTTCCTTACCTAATGGCCTAGATATAATCGACTGTATTTGACAGTGGAAGTATATCTCCACTTATAAGTATGGAAGAAGGAAAAATGAACAACTTCATTCACAGGTGGGAGGAATCTTGTTGCCAGCCAGTTCATGCTGCTGCAAATCTTTAGGATCCAAGATTCAAAGGTAGAAATGTTAGTGATTGCTACTGCATTTGACTGGATTGCAAAGCAAGCAACACACTTATGACTTGATGTTGGCAAGGTACTTTTAGATGTTGCAGAATACAGAACGTGGTGAGGTGGTCCAGGAGTGCAATCTGGGACTCTACCAAGCATATTCTTCCTGCAACATGGTGGCAAGGCCTTTGTACAACACAGCCTCTGACTCCACTTGCTTCTTGCCTGCTTCAGATTCCTCCATCTTCTGCAGCATGTGAAAGAAAGAGATCTGTTTGGAAATATGCACATCAAATCAAGAAATAAACTAACATGAAATAGTAGAGATGCTTGTTTCAATCCATGCAAACCTTCAGGTTTCTGAAGTTCATGAAGATAAAAATGAAAGTTCAGATTCAGAAAATATTGATCTTTGAGAAACCGTTTGACTCTGATTAGATAAAGAAACTTGCGATGCTGATATTTTCAGCAAAATATTTGGTTGTTTAAATGACACATGAGTTTCATGTGCTGAATTTTATCTCCAGCCTTAAAGGGATGTTTTTTTCTGAGCACTTTTTTCTAAAAATATGAGTTTCTTCTGTTTCTGGAGAGTACTGACTTGGAGGAGACCTATGGAAGAGATGTTCTAAATCCAGATAATTTATAGTTCCTTAGATTGTAAGGGGCTGGAAGGGACTTTCCAAGATCACTGGGTCCAGCCCCCCTGCACTAGGCAGGAAAGACAACTGGGGTCAGATGACCTCAGTGAGGTGACCGCCCGGTCTCCTCTTGAAGATTTCCAGGATAGGTGATGGCACCACCTCTGGAGAGAGCTTATTTCACAGTCTGGACACCCTGACTGTGAAGAAGTTTTTCCTAGTAGTAAGCCTGAAATGGTCTTCCAGGCTATTCCTGATTTTACCTAAGGGTGCCCTGGTGAACAGTTGTTCACCAAGTCCTTGATGCATTCCCCTGATATAGTGGTAAGCTGCTACCAAGTCCTCTCTCAGCCTTCTCTTTTTTTAGGCTGAAGAGGCCCAAGTCCCTCAGCTTGCCTTGCAAGTCTCTGATAATAAAGACTTCCTTTTGTACTACAATGTTGATGGTTTCTATTTTTAACTTGTTATTTTTTTCCTAGTTCTCATGAACTGGCAAAAACTAAGATATGATTAAGTACCTTAACAATTTGTAGCTCCATTTGTAACAATAATTACAAATAATTATTTTAAATGTCTTTGTTTTTTATTCAAATAATAATAAAGCATTTATACTTTTAAATTTCATAAATATACCAAACATTACAATTGTGTGTGCTAATTAAGTTATACATAATATATTTTATGTACGTACAATAGTAAAATAAACGTAGATAGATATGAAAATAAATACTGCTTGTATTTCAATTTTCCCCAAAATTTCTGTTCCCTGTCCCCGCCCCCCCCATGGGGAAAAAACCATCGTTTTTTTTCCCCCCATGACTTCAGAATTTCCATGACATCTCCAAAACATATAGGTCATCTCCAGAACATTTCTGTTTTCTTAACCTATTCCTAAAAAATCTTTGTACTTGTATTTGAGGGCAGATGACTATCTCTATCTTTAATACTCGCTTAATAGTAACTTTTCTTTTCCTGAAAGTCAATTCCACTGTAAATGTTTAATTTTCACCTACAACTATTCTTAAATTTCTTCTGATTATGGGAATAGTGCTGTGGTCTTGTGTCTGATTTGTTATAGAAGAGATTGCAAAACACAAAGATAGTCATATGGTATGTCTGGTCTCAGAAATGCCTGCTAGTGAGTTGCAGAGGTCCTTAATGGGTTGAGGAGCTTGCAGTCTTCTCCCTTCTAAAATTTCTGTCCAAATACTGTTTTGAAGACAGAAAACCTAAGTCTCTGTTGTTGCATCTTGAATTGAATAGTTTTCCAGAAATTATAGTATGCTTAAATAAAGCTGTTTCCTTTGATTTAAATAGTTTTTTCTGTCTGAAAAGTTTTCTAAAAAGAACTTTGAGAACAGAGATTCAGAAAATGTTTAGAAGGAAAATCAACTTGTGATGAGCAAAAAATACTGTATTTACAATTCTGGATTTGTTGAACTTACTAACTTTTAATGTGGTTACAGATGATGAAAACTTGTTTTTTGGGTTTTTGGGGGTTTTTTTGTTAAGGTTTACAGCTCGACCATTAGTGGAGACCATATTTGAAAGGGGCATGGCCACATGTTTTGCATATGGACAAACTGGCAGTGGAAAAACCCATGTAAGCATTTCTTTTAAACTTAATAACAGTATCACAGTATTATTCTTTTAATCAGATTAGTTTATACAAAATGTGGTTTTGCTTTTTCTTTTTCTTTACTTAGACTATGGGTGGTGACTTTTCAGGAAAGAACCAAGATTGTTCTAAAGGAATTTATGCACTTGCTGGTAAGTGGTCCTCTGCATTTTTCTCTAAAATGGTAGAAAATGCTAGATTTTTGTACTCCTGAGGTATACGTTGTAATTAATATAAGTACCCATATATATTACAATATGATAGAGAGATGTCGGCATCAAAGAAAGCTTTTAAACATGTAAATTTTGACTTTAGCATATAGTGATATATTTAAGAAATACAAATACAAGAATACAAATATATACTTGAGAATATAAATAACTGCAGAGTTGAGCTTCAGATTTATTGGCTATTCTGTATTTCAGAAAAGTTTTCTAGTTTTCATTGCAAACTAGAAACTATTATTATGGCAGATAAGCTGCCTTTTAAAAAAATGGGCTTATAATGAAAGCTTGATTGACTCGGATTCTGGTCCTACCAAGTATAGCTGTAATACATAAGACAGACAATTGTGTGTTCAATGGGTCTCCACTAGATGAAAGCACATAACTGGATTTCTTTGTATTTGAAAATTTATTCACAGCTCGGGATGTCTTTTTAATGCTAAAGAAACCAAATTATAAGAAGTTAGAACTTCAAGTATATGCAACATTTTTTGAGATTTACAGTGGTAAGGTAAGTACAAGTATTTGATTTTAGAGAGAATATGCTCTGTAAAGATAAATGGTTGTAAACAGAACAGAGTTTTCTCTATATTAGAATTTCATTTCATATGGACTTAATATCTGTCTTCTAATCATTTCTGGTTGGATTTTCTGTCTGTTTTTCAAACAAAATTTAAAATATATAAGCATCTTCTAAAAATTCCTTGCTATAACTCTGTATATGTTTCTTCCCAGGTTTTTGACTTGTTGAACAGAAAGACCAAATTAAGAGTGTTGGAGGATGGTAAACAGCAAGTCCAGGTTGTGGGACTGCAGGAACGGGAGGTCAAATGCGTTGAAGATGTTTTAAAGCTGATTGAAATAGGCAACAGCTGCAGGTATATGCTATTTTTAATTTGATTCTTCACAATAAGCTCTAAAAAACTAATTTTATTACAAGTGGGTGTCTGTTTATTCAAAGTCTTAGCTTTCTACTAGAGTGCAGATTTTTCCTTGAGGACATTGGCTGTTGTGGGAATTTTGCTTACCTCTTGTTTTAGCTTGTATGCGTGTGCCATGAGGAACTGAGAACTGATTTTTTTGTGGGGCATGAGTTGTATGTATTTATGTAATCAGCTGACTGTCTTAACTTCACATTATTAATTTTCTGGAATACTGCCAGATTCTTTAGTTTTAAAGCCAGTATACATTTATAGTATGTGAGACAGCTTCCATACTACAAATATTTTAATTTGTTAAAGTCCACACTTTGTTTTTAAAAATAGTCTTTTGCATTAATGGTTGGTCTCTTAGTAAGTAAAAATATCGCTTCTAAGATGGAGTTTAAATGCAGCGTGATGTGTGGCTTATGAGGTTGTGTGGAAGATGACATTTGAATACTGTTCACTCTCCTGTATAAAAGGATGGGGAAATTTATGTATATTACACAGTTTATAGATCATTGTGGGCACTTCAGAACTCAAAATTAGCAATATGCTGGCACTAACAATGCATAAAGGAGGATACAGGTTACTGTCCTGAACCTATTATTCCCTGAGAATAATATACTTAATATAATGGTCTTTCATGTGTGCTAAATAATATTTAAATTCTTCTTCCCCTCCTACCTCCCTGTATTATTAAAGAACATCTGGTCAGACTTCTGCAAATGCACATTCATCTCGGAGCCATGCAGTATTTCAGATTATTCTCAGAAGGAAAGGCAAACTACATGGTAAATTTTCTCTGATTGATCTGGCTGGAAATGAAAGAGGAGCAGATACTTCAAGTGCGGATAGGCAAACACGACTGGAAGGTGCAGAAATTAACAAGAGCCTTTTAGCACTCAAGGTAAGTTAAAATTGCTTTCAATTGCATTTGAACAGGTAGAACTCTTCATATAAGAAAAACCTTTAATAAAGTGAGTTTTTATACAGGCAGAAATTAACAACTTTCTGGTCAAAATGATATGGCATGTAACATTTTGGCAAATTCTTTTTCTAAATGCCTAAGAGAACACTTAGCAGTTAACCAGTTGAAACTTGCTACAAACATCATGCACAATATGGTGGTGTAGTATAAATGATTTTGTGGCATTTAGGTGTCTAACTTTAGACATTCAGGTTTTGAAATGTTGGCCTGTATTGGTTTTTTTGCCAGGTATATAAATCAATGTCTCTTCTGTCTGCAAACAAGTTCAACAACTTAAGAAAGAATAAAAGAAAAAATGCTAAACGAGAGCTAAAGGGCTAAATTAAAATGTGTTACTTGAATATAGCAGTACTTTAACTAGTATCTATAGTAATCCTCTATATCTGGTGCTTTCAAATAAATATGTGACTCATGTGTTTGCACTTTTTGCATGCAGAAATTGTGATCTGAAGCAAGTAAATCATTTAGTCTGCCTTTTTGGGGAAATGGTGCTTTTGAATCTGTCACCAGGGATCTGCTCCTAGGTTTCCTTCTTTAAAGAACTGCTCTTCTGATCAAAGCTGGTGTTTTGTGTGCATAAACCCATGTTACCCCTTGTTTCGCTTCAAAACTGTGGTCATCTTTCCTATCCTTTCAACCCTGATATGCCCACATAATTACATGAGGTGTTTTCTCCTGACAAAAGCCCCAGAAGGTAATATTGTTACAATAGTCTACAGCATGCTGAAAATACAGCAGCAGTACAAAATTGAAGGATATGTCAAAATTCAGATTTATGGTGCATTTAGAATCAAAATAAATAACATCAGCAATATATTGCTTGTATCATTCATTATCAAATGTAATTAGTAAAATCTGTTTTTATTTATTTATTTGATGTTTCAGCAATAGCTAGGATCCGGGAAACAATATCCACACATTTTGAGTTTAATTTCATTTTGTCTCTAATTATAGTGAATAGTAATGTGCTACTGGTCGTCTCTCTTGAATTCCATTAATTATATAGAGAAAACAACAAAGGAAGAGCTTCAGAATTTCTAAATAACTGTACAGTGTTTTAAAACTCTGACACTTCTCTGTCTCAGATCAAACTAGTCCTCTTTTATCAATTTCCCTGAATATTGTAATTTGAGTCAAGAACTTTGACATTTTAATTGTAATCTATTTCCAGTTAAGTGTATTTTGTGAAGAAAAGTGAAGTGTAGTGCTCTTGTATAGATCTGCAAGTCGCATGCGATTGTCAGCCTTGGCTTTTAAATATCTGAACAGTCTTTTTTCTGGGAACCATAATTTATTTTCTAGTGTCTTAAAGGAAATGGAGTTGTTGCTTTTTTGCCCTTTTTGCTGGATAGTATGGCCAAAAGTAAGTCTTGAAATTTTCTGTACAAAAACTGGCAGTGTCTTTGCCCCATCCTCTTCAAAATTGAATAAGTGAGATTTTACAGTTTGCTTAGCATTAGGTGCTCAAATAATAAATTGAAGAATCCTAATTAAAATTAAATTGCCATCAGAGAAACTGACTACATCAGGGGCAGGCAGTTATTCCGGGCGGGGGGGCCACTTAGTGAGTTTTGGCAAGCCATCAAGGGCCACATGACAGGCAGCCAGGGGCAGATAAATATTAATTTTCTATAATTTTTTCAGGGGCCCCGCAGGCCCGCTAGAATGGCCTGGTGGGCCGCATGCGGCCTGTGGGCTGCATTTGCCCACCCCTGGACTACATGCACTTAGGTCCCTGGTGGACATTCATGTAAATGTACCATGAGATCTAATCCCTGATCCCAACAATTGTGGCTCCTGCCATGCTCCACATGTGTGGTAAGAGGCTCAATTTTGGGATTGGGAATTAGATTCCAATCATGTCCTACTTGTCATTGCACATGGAGCCCAGGATCATAACTTGCATTGGCAATTTGAAAGCTGGATACCCACAGGTCTAGAACAATGGCCAACAATCAGTTTGTCCAGGTACTGCACCAGGGTATGGAAATGACCCCAGTGCGGTCTCTGTTGGGGCTGGCAGTCAGCTGAAATAGATTCTAATTAATGAATCAAAGTTCTTGACCCAAACTGCAAGTGGACGTACATTGTATATATTGGTTCAAACTGTAGTGTATGTATTCAGCTGATAGTTGGCCTTGCAGGGACCTCCTTGGGGCCAGTTCCAGACCCTAGTGTGGTCCCTGGCCCAAGCTGACTATCAACTGATTGTTCACCCAATGGAGACAGTACTGAGGCTGATTCCAGACCCCAGTGTGGTCCCCTGCCCAAACTGACAATCGGCCAGTTGTCAGCCCAACCACACTGATTGTAGGCTCATACACGCTTTCACTTTATGATGCCATACAACTCAGCCATATTATACATGTTGAACAATTTTATGGTTGGTTTGCCATTTAATGGCACCTTAAATTGGGTGCATGGGCTCCCTTGTCATTTATGCCATAATTAACATATTCATTGTGGCATAAATGCAACCTGTAGAGGGGACCTTAAATGCATTGTAACATTGATTTGTAGAAAAATCTGTTGTTCTTTCCCCTTAACAAGTCTGTTTTTTCCTGGAACAGTCTTACTAGAAATGCCTCAACCATTTTAAGAATTAGACAGAATGCACCATGCTGCACTCCTTAGGTTCTGTTCTGTCACCGTGCGAGTTCTTAAGATGATGCTTTCTAGGTATGGCCAACTGCTATAATTGTTTCTTTGGGGCTTGAGACACTATCTGTTAAGTGTTGTGATTCCTAGTGGCTTATAGAAGAGCAACATACCCAATGCTCATAACACCTGTATATAACTTACATGTCTGTCAAAATAGGGTTTTTTTTTGTCTTGGTCATGAGCTGAATAAATGTTGATTTGCATATTCTTTCAGGAGTGCATCAGAGCCTTAGGCCGAAACAAACCTCATACTCCATTCAGAGCAAGCAAACTTACTCAGGTGCTAAGAGATTCATTCATAGGAGAAAATTCCCGTACCTGTATGGTAAGTCAATTTTACTTTTAGTGAATTATTTCTGTTGTTGTTATGAACGCGTCTATTCAGGATATTATAGTTAGAGTTGGTATATATAGGGTATATTGAGCTTTGGATCCAGAATGAATCATGACAAGTGAATGATTATCTTTCAACAGGGTAATTCAAATTGACTTCTTCCCATTCTGTTTGGTTTTGCTTGTGTTTGTTGGGTTGGCAGAGGGGCTGTGTGTATTTTTCAGATGTTTCATTGAATGAGTAATACTTAGCAGAATTTGCGAAACTGTTTTAAATTGGACAAATGCATAGAATCATTTAAAAAAAAAAGGGGGGTGGGTTGGTCTGGATTGATTGGGTCCACAACATGCTGTTTCTGCTGCTCCTGCTTTTCCATCTCCTGTTGTTGTCATGGGGTTTCAGAGTACTGAGATCCCTGCAACAGACTCTTGCTTCATTTGGGCTGGTCCTGGGTGATGGTCTCCTATGAATTGCATCAGTGTTG